ATGCCATTTTCTGTAATGTAAGCCCCTAGAAATATGTTCACTTTTAAGGCGAAATGTAAATCTACCCCTATTATATCGTTTTATATTTCCTTAACGTTAATTTAGTGAATGTGTTACGAAGAGCAATTTTGTCAAAGTTTCGAAATGGAACAATTGCATTTTTTCAAGTTGCGACCATTAATCTGGACATTAAATTTTGAGCGAGCAAAGAAAGTTTGAGAGAGTGCAAAAATATTCGTATAATCACACGAAAGGTGTGAATAATGTAGAAGGGAGGTTGTAGGGGTAGCAAATACCTCCCAAGGCGAGGGTGACCCGAGAAATATTTTAAAAATTTAATGCAAAATTTCAGGACGTTACATTTACCAAATTATATGTCAACGATATCGAAAGTGCGTTTTTTAAGAAGAAAAGGATATTTTGTTAGTAGTAAAAGAAAACATGTCCTTATTTCCATCTCTACTAATTCTTTCAATTTAATTCATTGGGAACACCTCCAACTCTGCCTTCGAAGCTTGAGGAGCGATCCCCTGATACGACAGGTGTGAGGAGTGTTCTCCAAAAGACTGCCGCTGATTGAGGAAGGAATCAATCCCTCGAAGTACTCCTTTGAATTGGAAAATCTAGTGAAGTCGTGAAAACTTCCAGAATGTTTTTAGGGCAGATTGGTCAACTCGAAAAGAATCTAGAAGTAGAAAGAGATCTACGAGAAGTATTTTAAAACTCAAGAGAAGTAGCAAACATAGATCTAGGGCCGAACAGTATCGATAGGATCAATCACGTGAGGTCCCATAAACTGGCAAAGTTGCGTATTTTTGTGCTTAACGTAGTGCCGTTTTGAAACTGAAAAAATTCCGACTACTTTCGGAGATACCTATCCTGAAAAAAAAACGGAATTTTGCAAAATCGTTTTTATATTTTACTGAAGGTATTTAAAAAGTTATCTCGAAATAAATGACACATTATTTTGTCCACTTTTTTCCCTCTATAAGATGCTATTTTTAAATTTTAAGTTTGACGTTTCGTCTCCAATCAACCATCATCAAACTTTACTTTTCCTTATGGAAGTAATTTTTACTTTTTGAGTCATTTGATAAACATTTTTTTCTGATTTCAAAAATGTAAGATCCCTTTGAAAAACCCGGGACAACAAGTGGGGACACTGCTGCGGCTCTTTTATATATAAAGTTGCGACTATCCGCATTTATCTAAAAAAAAACTAGTTCATCTTTTTCGAAATTCATCTTTTTAATTAATTTGTGACTTGTTTACTTTCTGATATTCTTTTGTTTTTCATTGTCACAGACTACTTCGGTGTATAAACATGTAATTAATTAATACGTAGGTACTTTTGTGAAAAATATTGAATTACCTAAAAACTACCGAATTTAACCTTATAAAAATTGAAGAGAACACAAACGACAATCGAATAGCGAAATAAAATAGTAAGAGTTCCATTTGAAAAAGAACAGTTATTGCATTGAAATTTGGAAATTTTACCATGTAAACACCCTGTATCACTAAATCCGACTTTCTCATTATCAAAGTGTTGTCCTTTACTCTGATTAACATTTATTATTGATCAAGTGTATTTCTTAACTTCTAAATCAAGGTGGCTATAATTGATCAAAATGGGGCTTGCTTATTATTCTGAAAAAAATTAACAAGATGGCAACGTTGACAAAAAACCAAAAAGTGAATAGGTTTCCTTCCATCTAGAGGTTAACAAATGACATTGAAGCAAGTAAAAATAAACAGGGTGTTTCATTTTCAAAAAATCAATTATTTATTGACACCGTAAAAATGGAACACTGTGCATTCAGAAGTAATGTCTGTAGATGTGCAACTATCTATACTTGTCATCTGAACAAAAGCTTCTTAAAATATTTTTTACCAAGTGTGAGTTGGGAAAGACCCACGCACTGTTACAGGACCCTGTATGTAACCAAATACTATATACAATGCTATTCATTAAGAAGTAGACATAGGGATTTACGGGTATTGTTTTTTCTTATGTCTACTTTTGAAGGGCGCATAATTTTATGCAACGAAAATCTCTTAAAATCTTTTAAAATTCCATGGCATCGCAGATTATTGAAAAAGATGCGGGTTTTATTTTTCCAATTTTCCCTCTTTATTATGCAAAAAATTGAAAACTAATACGGTTGATTGACGTAAAAAAATTTTTACTACAAAAGATTTTTGCTCTAAAATAATTTGGGGAGCCAATAATCGCATGTTATGAATTTTACATTGAAATCCCTATGATGCGTTACGCAAGTCACCACCCTGTATATGATTTTTAAGTTATTTTGACTTTAAGAAAAAAATGGCGGATGCAGACGTTACCTTGATCATTGATTACTTGAAAACGGTTGTAGTTATAGTAACTCATTTTTTACAGTT